TTTTTTTTTTTTTTTTTTTTTTTTTTTTTTTTGAGATGAATTATTTATATAGTCCCAACAAGTTGAAGCATGCACTGGGCTGAAATTCGCTAACCGTTTCTTTCTTTGTCTCATTTTTTTGTCACCAAAAAAAGATTTTTGAGGAATTGTAAACATTTACTTTTAAGTATGTCTCAAAAAAAAAAATTCGTTAACAGCTTTCTTCATCAGCTTTTAGTAAACAACTGCGCATATTTGAACTTGTTTAGCTGCTTATATCTGCTTGACGTCTATAGTCCTGGCTGAATGGCTGGGCCTTGATGAGATCTCAATTGCGTTTGGATTATTAATCCTTGGCAGAAGCTTTGGTTGTTTTTTTGGAACGCCAATCGCGGGTGACTCTTTGATTTTTCTTATTCGATTATAGGGTAACATTTTTTTGTTTAGCGAAGTTCTAGATTTTCTTCATTAGTTTGTTGTACGCTGGACTTAAAGTTTTCTTAAAACAGTGCCATAATTCTGTAAATATTTGTAGTCTGTCATCGGTACAAGGTAAATCTGATATTTGCTGTTTCACTCTCAAGACAGTTAGGAACTTTTATAGTTTAATTTTGCAATCATTTTTGGGACAAATCAGAACCTACTGTTGTGAATTTAAGTTTCATTACTGCAGACTTCCTCACAGCATTTACAGAACTTAAAACCCTTAACATATTACTGCTTTTTATTAACATTTGCAAAACGTTTTTACTGTAAAGTTCAATACACTTTTTGAAGCTCATTTAAGTATGCCAACTTTTTCTTCTTTGCAGGTGCTATCAAGGATGCGACAGAGTCATTTGTCTACCCTTTCTACTTGAGTGGGACATTTCTTATCACTGGTGGTTTAGCAGGTTCCTTGATACCGGTGCTGTCGAAACCAAAGGGGTCACAAAAAGAGTAAGTCGTTTTAGATCAGTAGAGGTTCTTCAGTTTAAGTTTTAGTGTACGCTTCTAACTCCAGTCATCTTTCATTTGTTGCATAAACTAGAGGTCTTACTTATTACCTGATTTTTGTGTATGCTCGTTCACCAATTGATTTTGATTCTTCCACGTTTTGTTTCATTGAGCCTGTATCTGCATTTATTTCAGGTCCCAGAACTTCAATAACGAAGTGTAACAGAAACTTCTTGTTTGTAGGTCAAGTGTTATGGATTTCAAAGAATTACTCTTTACAACTGTAAAAAACTTCCTAAACAACTAACGAAAGTTGCCACTTTAAGTGGGAGGAAGGAATTTTTTGGACCAAATTTCAGTGCTTTTCACTAGTCGTCTTTTATTGAGCTAATTGTGCAAGAATTTTTTAAAATCTTATAATGGCGCAGTTCTTCACAGTTTTTTAATCTCTCAAACTGCATTGCCTCAATTGTCTTTTTTGTCATATTTTTTCTGCTATTTATTTTCTGTTGTTAAGTGTTTGGTTGTTATTTTGAAATGTGTTTTTGTTAAGCATTAGCTGTCGTCAAGTTTACCGCAAGCTTAATGCTTTTTTTATTCCATACCATGTGTTTCTTTAGGTTGTAACGGGTTTAATTTTTAATAAATTTTCAACTTTTGAATATTATCAACTTCTTGACTTCTAAGCAGCTGTTACTGATGAATCCTCAATTAAACATATTTCTAAATTTTTTGTCCTATTATTAAATTACTTTTCAAGCTTCATAATTCTTGACTGCTAGTTCAGGTACTTTTCTATTGCCCTTTGTAGTTTGCTGCTTGGTTGGTATTGGCAGAATAATCTAAAAGTAGACAAGGTACAAAATTCTATGTTTTGCTGAATGGCTGGAGAAGTAGCGCTTTTATTTTCTTAAATAGGAAGATGCTTGTAGGCTTCATTTCTAAGAATTTTTGATTTTTGTATTTGCTAGGAGAGTTCCTTGTATTGTGCACAGAGTTAAGTTCGAAACCTGTAACTGTTCTTAACACTAAAAGTACAACTTGAAGGATTGAAGTGTTCATTACGCCGGTTATGCGGGAAGTGAGATATCAGTATAAAGGAGCTTGTACAAAGATTTAGTAGAGAAGGCTGAAGTTTATAGATGCTTATTTGCGTGTGCATTATTGGAGATTTCTGCTGAATATGTTCACTTTCCAGTGTGTCCTAGTAGAATTTTGACTAGGTCAGTAAAGCGTTATCTTTTGATGGGTTTTTTAATTACTGTTGAAAAGATGCTTCTTGAAGCGGAAGTAGCGGCAAATGGTGAGTTTTATTTCATTTAGTAATGCTGTTTTTCGCGGTTAAACGAAGAAACAGTTCACTGATGAATTGCAGGGAACGTTTGGTGCCATTTATTTCCTTCACTTAATCGTGTTTAGGTTCACAAAAAAACTGCAGTTGAAGACTGCAAAGTGAAAGCTGAGGTGATTTTTTGTAGCATGGTAGTTTTAATTGGAATACGCTTTCTTTACACAACCCTCCTTTACAAACAATAAAGTTACACTTTAGCATAAATATTCAGTTGATTTTTTCAGACAACAGTGATATACGATTTATATTGAAAAGGCTATAACAAAAAAAATGCCAGTTACGTCTAGAGAAACAAACTTGGCTCAAGAAACTGTTCTATTTATCTCCGTATTACAAATATGTTACCAAACCTTATCATAAACATATTCTCATATGTCAACCAAAGATCAGTTGATCGGAAGTTAAAAAATTTCTATCTGGTTCTTCTAATACGTCTACTATATTGCCTAAGGGTGTCGTCAGTCCCAGTCAATTACAATTTCCATTCGGGCCGCTAAACCAGGGGTCAAAGGACAATACGAAAATGCCGTATACTTCTAAACTAAGCGTTATTTCAAAATATGCTGACGGCGTAGCAAATGTTTCACTTTTTTAATTTTTTTAGTCTGTGATTCGCTGTGATAGTTCAAATCCGTACATTGTTTGTTTGGCGAGGTCCCGCTGACATGTCAACCACAAAGTGGTTATAGGGGAGTCGGTTATTTACAACTTTGATACCACAAGCAAACTTTATTCGATAACAAAAAGCCCTTTTGCTTTGTTTGTAACGTTCTGTTCGATAGTTACCGGATTCTTCTTGTTTCAAAGAATTGTGAATTAAAGTACTTTTCATATCTTGAGGTATGTCAAATAATACAGTAATAAATATGAGATTGACAGGTGAAGAATGGAAATTTTGAAGAAATGTAGTTGTAAAATGATGGGAGTAGAACGTAAGGGTATAGCCATTCTAATTCCACCGGAAGAAGTTTTAAAATTTTTTGTACAGATCAATATGATAAAGTCTTCTTTCTTCTAATTATTCAGACTTTTTACTTGTACTGTATATCTCTTATGTAGTTTTACTAAGTAGATTCAAGCTTTATGTGCCGTTGATCCTGTACTGCAGTTTTTTTAGCAGAAGGTGAGTAACTTGTTATAAGTTGTTGTGAAATATATTATTAACTTCTTTCTTCTTTGTACTTGACTGGTCGACCTCTTGCGTTGAAGGCAATTATATTTTGTGAGTGAGACAGTGTGAGTTTGAGTCTTTTTGATATTAGTTTATTATTTATTGTTAAGAAAGACACTGAGAAGAGAAAAAGCGGGTAATAACAAATTATAAGCGTCTTCGTTTCCAATTTGGTGTGAGATATCTGTCGGGGCGGGATCGCAATTACAGTTACACTGCCGGCTGGTAATTTAGGCAAGTGTCGATCTAAGTTCGTATTAGGGCGTTTTTAACATGGAAATTTGTAGTGTTCTTGGCGATCATTCTAATCGTGAAGTTTTTTTTGGCAACCAGTTGCTTGTTGAATTTTGCTGGAATGTGGTTTCCATATTAAGTTATTAGCCAAGATGTGTTGTGTTCAATTTTTTCGTTTACTGGTTTTGTTACTTTACAAGCAAAAATAACTTGTCCATCTCCCTACAATTTTTTTTTCATTTCAGGGTTCTGCCAAGTGTTAACCTAAAATTATAAAATCTTTACAAAAATTAAATCCGTAGTTTTTTCAAAGATGTACCTTTTATGTTGTAAAGTGGGTGTCATTTGGATATGGTTAGTGTATTTTTTCTGTCTAAAACAAAGGCAAAGTTCAAGTAAAGCGAAAAAAAGAGACTATCAAATACCATTGTAGCTGCATAAACATTAAAACTTATTTTTATTACATAGATAATAAATTTTTATTCAAGGTTTTTTCAAGTAGTAAGTCTTTTTTTTTTCAGATGGTTAGATTCTTTCTTTTTTAAGTAGTAGATTTCTTTTTTCTAAGTAGTAAGTTTCATTCGTTTAAAAAAACAGCATCCCGAAGTCACAAAGTTTAAGTGTATTGAATTCTTTTGACACCAACAACTTTGTAACTTTGGGATGCTGTTTTTTTACATAAAAGAAACTCATTACTCAGAAAAAGAAACCTACTGCTTAAAAAAGAAAGAATTTAATCATTTGAAAGAAAAAATTTACTCAAAAAACCTTATTACTTAAATAAAACTCATTATTCAGTGAAGTCTTCTGACACCCGACAACTTCCACTATCGTAGTTTTTTGGCAGGAGACATCTCGGGTCACACAGTCCTGCCAGGGAACACCACATTGCGGGCCTTCCATTCGCTTTGTTTTTTTCTTTCTAACTGTACGAATTTTATTCCTTCCAGTCTTCTTCTTTTTCTTTCCGCATAAACTAGTCAAACATAGAATATAATTCCACTTTTTCTCCTCATCATTACTTCCAGTTTTAGTTCAGTACTTTGCTACTTTTTATTAGTATTCTTTAAAGTTTTCTTAGCTGCTAAGCAACTGCATTTTTTTATGGTGCCATTTCATGGCCGTCTTTCTCGACTTTCACGGATTGGATTTCTCTTTTTTTTTACATTTTCTTAAAGTATTTTGAAGGTAGATTAAGTAAACAGACAAAACTAAGGTAGATGGACACTTAACAAAGTTATTGCAGTAAAACTGCTAAAAAGTATGTGTAATAAATTCTGCTCACTCTCATATTTGTCTAAAGTCTCGGCTGAAAATAGAAATTAAGTTATGAAATTGTGAACACAAACAGATAATACCTCAACAAACAATAGACAAAAGCTGCAACATCATTTACACAAGTCACTTGGACGTTTAGCCTAATTTTACGGAGTTCGTCCGGATCATTTCCAGATGCCTCCATATTACACGGTGGCATTGCGTCAAAGCGCTGGAATTTAGCCGTAATTTAGAGATTTTGCTAGCAAAAAATTTTACATCGAATTGGAGTTGAAGACGACTATGTGTAATATGAATATAGAATATTGGCAGAAGAACAAGGAATAACATAAGTAGACAAGATGATGTTTAACAAAGAGATATATAACCAAGCAACGGTAGATAATCAAGAATTGAAACGGCACAGCAGAATTGGTAGCTGAAGAAACGATGCGTGATAGCGAGGAATTTCCTCAACAAACTATTTCACCTTTTTTAGAGGGTTATTTAAGTAATCCTCAATTGCTGTTCGTTAGATGTTTCCCGAGAGAGTCCTGACTTCCCGTTCTTTTTTCCTTCTATAGCTTTTTAAATCAACCACGTTATTGATAAGAAAACTTAGTAAGTTTCAGCAGTAGATCTGGCTGGCACCAATCCATGCACCTTTTCGGACATGTCTAGATGCCAGAACAAGATGAATGCAGTCGGTCTATTTGTTTTTGATATTTTAAATCTGTTTTGATGAACCACAATATTATCAGCTTCACGATAAGCGCCAACTAAAAACAAGCGTTCAGATGGATGTTTATTCTTCTCATTTACTGTGACTGTACAAATGATGAAATACGTTTTTGAAAGATTTCCTGCTAAGATTTAGAATGTTGATTTTTTAATATTTATTAAACCTTCCGTTTGTTTTTTATCATCTTTGATGCTTTTTTTCAGTTGTTATCTGCTCTGCTGCTTGTCTTGCAGAAAGTTTTATTCGTTTTACCAAAAGTTCATTTAAAGTAACTTTAAAGGTAACTGCATATCTGTCTTGTTATGAATTTTAGCACTACTTTTTTCCACAATACCTCCGTTCCGTACAGAACGGCAGGTTATGATTTGGCAATATCTCAAATTAACCTTTCCGTTTCCAGTTTTGGATAACTGCCATTAAACTTTAATTCTTTTTCTTTTTTATTAATATATTTTTCTTTTTAATAAA